ATAATATTTAAGAAAAATGCTAGAAATTCAAAACCCAAAATGCAGGCCAAGCTAATGGACAGTAGGAATATTTGAACTGAAATGTAGAGACTTCCTGACCTCAATTAACTACATATCATTGGAGCAGATGGACTATTTACATTTACTAATACATTTACTTTGCACTAGTAAACAGGAAAGGTTCCAAAATTAAACATCACACCAAAAATTATAAATACAGAAATATATTAATATATTTATTTAACAAGTTGAAAATACAGTAGATGAGCAATAATTTTTGCTAACCTCTCTCTTGAATGTGACATTTTCATTTTCAACGTCTTTAATTCGAACAGAAAGCTGCAAGACAGAAAACCTTTATATGCATCACTGACACCACAAAGAACTCCAGAAACAAAGAAACAAATGCACAGCAATCCTATTTCATCAGTGGTTTCTTTTTTTTTAATTTCAGATGCTTTTTTCAGAACATCAACTTTACAAAATATTTGACAGAACAGCTTCTAGAGATGTCAAGCTCAAGTCCTTCTCACCTGTTCATTCATTTTCTTCTCCTTTTCCAACTCTTTTTCTAGATCTGTTAACTGTCTCTCTTTCTGTTCCAATTGTTTTTCCAGTTGGTGGATCTCATCACGCAAAAAACGAGTATCACGACCAGCAGCAGATTTTTGTGCCATCTTATGAGCATTAAAATAACATTATAAATATAGTAAATAAAGTAGAAAGAACTAAAAAACCCAAAGCAGATGCTAAGACTAAAATAAGTGGGATTTTTCAAGTATACAAAAAGTGAAGGAATTATTCACCTAAGACTGGTGCATATTCAAAAAACAATAAAAAGCATTTGCTAAGATGTAGGGCTATTTCATCACTTCCTAAGCCTAAATGCTAGTCTAAAATAAAAAAATTAGAAGACCCCACCAGAGCACTCTATATGCCAACAAAATTTTAAAACATACCTCTAATTCCTTTTGAAGTTTCATCAGCCTGATTTTAAAATTATTCTCTGTTAAAACAGAACAGATATAGTGAATTACCCAATAAGGTAAAAAACACATAAAACAACAATGGTTAACCTTAGACTTTAAATATTTGGCTTCATTGAAGCAATTGACTTCAGAACAGCTAGTATTTTGGTCAGTTCTCTAAACCTTAAAAAAAGCCACAAAACAGTAAGAACAAAAACCTAAAAAACACATTTAAAAACTCATTTGGGAACAGCATAAAAAAGCTTGCTTACCACATTTGGCTTGCTCTTCCCCAGCTTTTTCAACTTCTTCTAGTGCCAGTTCTACCTCTTGAGTTTTCATCTGAGAAAAGAAGCATAGCAAGCAAAGAAGAAATATTTACTACTACCATAAATTAAAAGATTGTTCCACAGACATCATGTTTAAAATATATTTATTTTGAGAAATTTATTTGCATTTTTCATCTATATAACTGTGTTATTCCAATTCACTTCACTTCCCACTACTAAATTCCAACAGATACACAAGAAGGTACTCTGGTGCAAGCACACATTTAGCATATAAATTACCTTAAGAGTAAGCAGTATTTTCAGGAACAGGGGAAAAAAAGAATAATGATGCTTCCATCTAAACAAAAAATAAACAAATGTATCTGCAGAATGGAAGAAAGTAAGCCTTAATACAAACCTTCAGTAGTGACTGAGTAATTTTAAAAAGGTGTATCACTTTTTCTGGAGTTTCAGTTTTTAAGTCTTTCCCATCAACCTAAGGAAAGAGACAAAAGTGGTTTTACACTAATACCAATGAAATCCACAAAATAAATTTGTAATGTATGTGAAGGACCAGATAGTTTAGGGAAGAAGGTACAACAAAACCCTCATATTCCCTTTATCTCAAGTACCTTGAATGTGATATCCAGCAATCTGTCTGCTAGCTCCTCTTGACGAGGCAGAGTATCTGGATCAACTTTCATGAGCTTCTTCCAATCTAAAATGGGTGCCATTTTGAAGGTATGACTTTTTTTTTCCTGGAACAAAGATTAAAATAACATTTATCAAGTATTATCTCAGTGCAAACCAATTTTAGGTCAAATGATTTAATGGAGGCTGGCCACTGAACACACCAGATGATTATAATAACTATAACACTGATTAACATTCTGTGCACATTTTCTTCTATTACAAACTAGGAGGCTATAACTAACCATTTCTTCTTTATATAAAATTACACCATGCATACTCAATGAATTATTAAAACTATCAGTGAACATCAGAACACATATGAAACCGGTGATTTAACTTCAATATCCTTTTTTCTTCCCCATCTCTTAATGTGGTATTTTTATGCCAATGAACAAACACAAAAATAATTATTTCTACTATTTAAAACACAATCAACATCTTCTTTAGTTTGATACTGTGAGCACAGACTTCTTGACACTGTATTAAACATAATTTACTTTTTATTAGAATACTTGAATTGACAAAGGACATTAATCAACCTGGAAAATAAGAAAAATCTCATCAAAAAGTGGTGGAAAGTTTTCTTCTACTGCTTACCTACTGGTTACTGTGGGCCACAGTGATTTCTCACATACCTGAAAGTCAATGCAGTATCTGAAAAAGGCAGAAGAGATTGGAAATCTTTGATTATTCTGTTCTTCAGAGCTGTCTCTAGACTTTCTGATAAATATTTTAAAAAGTAAATTCTGCCAAGTTTAGAACAGAACATTTTTAATCTACTTATTGCCTCGAATGGTAAAGAAAAATTAAGAAAAAAATAAAGCTAATTAGAATAGTAAATGCAGCATTATTCAAAAAACTAGAAAAAAAGCAAGCTCAATCAATAACTTCAGCAATGGTGTATGCTGAGCACAATATTTTGAGATCTGATCTATCATGCACCCTGTTCCTTGTGAAGTCATAGATTGAGCTGCTGTTCAAAGACTCAACAACTGAAACCTCCTTTCTTAATAAAAGTCTGAAACTGGTATTACTTTCCAAAACTATCATGCCTAAGCATTCTGAAAGAAGAGTTTTCAGACTCAGAAATACAGGTGTATGCCTAAGGGAGGACAAAAATGACCTTCATCTTTTCTGACTACGTGAACAACTTGAAAGGCCCCCTGATATTCACTGTATTTCTTCAATGTTTGCCAAACATAAAACAGGCATTACACTCAGTCTATGACTTCACAAGGGTGACACCTTATATACACTACTGCTTTTTTGTTTTGTTGTAATGGCAAAGGAGAGTACAAGGAGAATACTGACACTGACTTATTCAGTAAGTTGAATATTACTTGATTTCAGCAATATACTTGTCCAAGGATCAGAGTTCTTAAATACATTCATTTTTTCTTAAACAATGAGATGTAGAACTTAGGAGTTTTAAATGCTCAACATTCAAGACTATTCTGAAAGCAAATACACAAACTTACTACTGTCAATCCTTTCCTACCATCCATCTCTCATATATCTTTTTCCCTTAACTTACAAAATAATGTCCCAAGAAAATATCAGTCCTAAAATTTTATCCAAAAGGAGAGATACCTGTACATAAACAACTGAATCCAACTTGTTGAGACACCAGCTATAGTAAGGTAGGGGGGCACAACCTATGCACAGCGTAAATCACTTCTGTGAGTTGTCTTTAGTGCCAAACCAGCACAGTTCCACAGTATATAAATATTGTGAGAGAATTTATTTAATTGAAGAGTTTTTCAACATTTTGCTCATCCGTTGTCCTCAACTCAAATCTGTGGTTCTAGTAAACAGAGAATCCATGTGGTGAGATGCTGAGCTCGTGGGTCTACAAAACGTGTGAAATAGATGGAGACTTGGTATTAGTTATAAGATTTTCTAGACTTACTCAGGGAATCAAACATACATAAAACGGCCAGATGTTGTAAAGTTCACAGACTCAGATAGAAAAGGAAGTCTGGAGGGTATGTTCAAGAACTACCAGAACAACACTGTCCTGGTTTCTGGCTCTGGGAAACCACACAGCCAAGCTCACACGTGCTACCTTACCATCACAGTGAGATCAAGCACCACTCGGAAGAGCTGTTCTTTTCCCAACAGGGAGTATATACAATGGGCAGCACAGAGTCACCTGCACTCCAAGGGGACTTAATATCAAGAAGCATCACAGTCACGCGGGAGATGTGCTCTGCTAACTCCGTATTTGTTTACATGCAGTAATCCAGTTTAAGCTACTTTTGACTTCCAAATTGCATTTACCCGGAGCAGCTCCGCGAAGCACAAGATCTTAATTACAAAGCCCCAAACGAGAGAGATTCTTTGCAAGGCTCCCATTCTCTCCTGTTTGGCATATCCCAGCCACAGGATGCAGTGACAGCCCAGGATCCCTCCACTATGCTGCTGAAACAAATTTTGTCCCCGTTTCACTCCAGCTTTACTGAATTAACAAATCGCCTCGTTTTGTAGCCGCCTTCCCAACCAGGCGCAGCAGCGGCAGCAGCCGAGCGCAGACACAGCGGCGCGCTCCTCCCCGGCCCGGCCCGCGCCGCCGTCTGCTCCCGGTCGCGCCTGCCCGGGACCCGCGGCCGGCCCGCAGGAGCGGGGTGGCCCCCCCGCCCTCAGCCCGGCCGCTCCCGAGGGAGCGCGGGTCGCTCCGGCCGGCGGCAGCTTTTGATGTCCTTGCCCGCAGCACCCCCGCCCCGTGGCCTCACCGCTCCCGGAGGATGACGGTGGCCGCTGCCAGGCGACGCCATCAGACTCTCCCGCAGACCCGGATATTCATGGGCGCAGGGAAAGTCAGTGCTCCCGTGGCACCCACGGACAAGCCCCACGCTGCCAAGCGGGCTCTCACAGTCCGGAGAGGCAGCCAGGTGGGCAGGGCACGATCCCACCCGAACGCACCGCTTCGCCAGGGTAAGAGCCCCGAGCACCACTCCCGGCACCGGGCGTGCTCCCCGGGACTACAGCTCCCGGCAAGCCTCTGGGCCCACCTTCTTCCCGAGAGCGCCTGCGGGGCGGAGAGCGGGGCGGCGCGCTTGCGCCGTGTGCGGCGGCGGCGGAGCGCGCGGTGGGTGGCGGCTCCGGTGGCGGCTCCGGTGGCGGGGCCGCGGCCCCGGTGCTTGTCCCGGCCTCAGGTAGGGCGGGCAAGGCGCGCTGCGGCCGCTCCCCTGTGACGGGCCTTGTCCGGGGGAGGAAGGAAGGAGTAAGTGAGCGGGTCCGGTGTAGCTGCTGCCTCCGGTAGTTTCCGTCCGCTGGCCATGCCTGCCGTGCCGCGCCGCGTCGGTGAGCCCCCCCCGCCTGCCGGGCTGCGGTGCGGCCTCGACCCCGGACTCCGCCGCTTGAGCGGTGTTCGGGACCGCACCCTGGCTCGGCGCCTCCGCCGCACAGCCTGCCCTTAGCTTGCCTGCCTCGCCCCAGGGCTGCGGGCAACGTGCTGGTTCCTGCCCGGCCGGCGGGAGGGCTGCGGGACTGCCCGGCTACGTGTGTGCTTTGGGGGTAGGTGGGGAATAGCGGGGGCCAGAAGGCACGGGGAAAATCGCACTTACAAACTACTCGAATCCATTGGGTACTACTGGCCAGTAAGTCTGAGTTGTAGTAGTGGTGCGATAGCCGAGAAAGTTTGGGATTCTATGTTTTAGTTAAATGGGTGGGAAAACATCTTTTCAAATAAAAGAAAGAAAACTAGTAACCATTCCAGGCGTATTTGTCTCTAATTTTTTTCAAGAACTGGGGAGAGCTGAAGTGGATTTGTTTTGTTTTAATAGTAAGAGAAAAGTTATTATGGTGTTATCTTTGTACTTTTGTCCTTTTTTGGATTAATAATGGTTTTCAAATTTTTTGCTATTTCTTGATCAGTGTTAATATTTTAATGAAGACTGACAAGATGCAAGATGCCTCGCGCTCCTTATAGTTATGCAGCTTGTTCCAGTCACAGCATAACTCTAAAGACTTTTATGTCGCAGCCAGGGGTTGGTTAATTATAGCTTTATATTGGGTGCAAAAAACAAACTGTAGTTAGGGAAGGGAAGGAGTCTGGGTTGTATTTAATGAATGGGTAATGTTGCTAAAAATGAAATTAACTATGATTAAGGGTAAAACAATGATTTCTTAGTAACAGAGACTTTTATAGGTGTTTGAAGTGACACGGAAAATAATGGCACCTTAGCCACAAACTAAGCCTTCAGGAAATGAATCCTTCTGTGGTAGAGAAAATAATCTGTTGATGCTAGAATGTTTCTTTATAGGAGCTTTTTTTTAGAAGTCATCTTCATAATCTTAACAAGTTGTTAATGCAGTATAGCTGTTTAGTGTGTTTATTTAATATGCGTCAGCAATTTTTAGTGTTCAGTTGCAGAGTCAGCAGAGAAAACATTACATTTACTGGTAGCAAAACTGTATCTGGGTTGTAATTGTGTAGTGCAGCTAGTAAAGACCATTGGTGCAGAAGTAAAAGGTATTTGGATTTGAGGTGGGCATGGAAACTCCAAAAGTAGAAAAAGAGTAAAAAGAATTGAAGTATTAACCCCATACAAAATATTAAAAAAATTTAAAATACAGCATTGCTTGGACCAAGTAAATTAGTTTTTCTTATGTTTTGCATCACCTCGTGATGAACTTTGTGCAAGTGAATCTTCTTTTAGTAGGAGTAGATACTTAGAGTTCTGGAGTCAAGAAATCATTTCAGCTCCACAGTGAATGGTTTGAACTACTATTGATAGAAGAGTTAGGCATACATGTTAAATAACAGCTTTGATAGCAGTGTGCCCTTGCAAAGACCTAATAGAAAAAAACTGCACTGTGAAAAGCCAATTGGAATGTTATTTAAAGAACACAAGAAATCGTATACAGACCCAGCATACTAAGTAAGGACAGAGTAGCAGAGTCTAAAGGCTGTGTTTTCAGATTATACCTCACATGTAGCTTTTGTTCATTTATTCTTTGGAGTAAACAAGTATGCAGATTCTGCTGTTGCATTTCTGGAACACCGAGAGTGGTAATAAGTGTTATTTTAGAGACACTATTTTTGCATCAGTGAGGCCACGAAAGATGTTTTATGTAGTTACACTAAATAGAACAGCTATTAGTTTATTACTGTTTGAATGTAGCAAAAAAACCCCTAAAGGTTTGACATTGAAATGTGAGATTCTGTTACTGATTTAAGTTTTTAAATTATAAAGTACAAGGTAGACCTGTGTGGTTTGTATTTTGTATTGACTTGTACCAGTTGCGTTGAAGAAGTTGAAACTAAACCCTCAGCTAAACCAGTATCTTCATCTCACCCATTTTAAATTGTGTTACATTTGGTCCTTGTTTATACCAGAGTAACCTAAAATGTCCTGAGTGTTAGTTCAGCTGCTTGGTTGCCAGCAAGTTCTTTCCCTCTGGGAGATTTTTCATCTGGCCTGCAATACGTGTTCTGACTTTGTATCGGAACTGCCAGTGTTGTTCTAGTTAATTGTTCAGAACCATATGAAGAGAAGGCTGGAGGCCATTACCTTCCTGTGTAGTGAAGAGTATTTCCTAATAGTGTTTCCCATGCCTCTTGATCTGGTAGCGAAAACTTTGCAGAAGAAGGTTTTCACCATATAACTTGTTGTACTTACCCTGTTTTAGGATCTCAGCAAGGTAAAAGGGGAATCCAGGCATGTTTTGTATTATTTCTACTCTCATATTCCCGAATGCTTCTTGACTTCCAGATCAGATTCAAACCCAATCATTTCGATCTCAGCTGTGCATCTAACTTGTTTCGTATTGGAGTTGTTCCTTGGAGTAGGGTTTTTAAGAGTAGATAAAGTTTAAGGCTGTGTTGGAAAGGCAAAACAGAGGCAAAATTAAGATCTCTGTCAGTAAACACTTGTAGTAAATCGGCAGAATAGAATGTTCAGTTTAACTCAAAACAAAGGTTAGCAAGTAGACAATACAAATTAGGACATTAGCAGAGCCTCAGAAGCTGAATTAAAATGCTTATTTTAAGTGACTGTACTACTCGTTTGTATATATCTCTGCTGATATTCATCAGTTCAGCTACCAACTCTTAGATGAGCTAGTTGTTCACCTGTTTAAAAATAAAAATAACCCTAGGAGTGCTTTTAACAGCTCTTCATTTTCTTCTCCCTTTGATAATTTGAAGGTTTTCTGTGTGAACCGTAGTGTTCTAAACATTTCAGAACCTTCAGTGATTAATAAGGTTTATGTCTAGAGTAAATAAATCTCCAGTATTGCCTGATTATTTTTTAGTAAATTGGCATAACACGTTGTTATTAACGCCTTTCAATCCGTGAAAGTGCCATTACTCAGTAGAAGAAAAAAATTTAAATGTATGTTTAAGTTGCTAAAATTTGATAGTTAGATGTCTAATGGACAAAAACATATTTATTCCTGCAAGGGTCTTTTAATGTTAGGTGGAAGATAGCTAATTATGGAGTGCTAAATAGCTTTTGCATGTTTTCGGGATTGCAGCTGTATTCTTGCCAAGATACACACTTGCCAATTTTTTCTAAATTCTAATGGACAGAAAATGGCTTCTGCACTCCCAAATTTCCCGACTGAGAATACTCTTAGAACATCATTATGCATTTTTTATTTGTGACAGAGGTTTTCCTATGCAGACTGCTGCATCTTGCTGCATGTGTTGTGCTAAACCATCTGTAGTGTCATGGATTTAGTAGAGATTTTTGGGAAATATTTTGTTTTCTTACCTTCTGAAAGTGCTTTGGCTCTTTTGGTGGTTGTTACTTGGGTTTTTGTCAGTGCATTTTTTCAGTTTTGTAGGACTTTCTTACTCTTGTCTGTTATTCTTGAAAACTGGATGAACTATTAGAGGAATCTCAAGAAGCTGGAAGAGGAAAACTATGTGCCTTATGAACCAAATGGGTTTGAGAGTTCTGGTTCACTTCTGGCCTTTCCACTTAATGTCTCTGTACAAATGTGAAAATGGTGCAGTGCAAATTTCAGATTTCTGTGCGGGACAGGCTAAGAAATTTAGTCCAATGATAGGCTGTTTTGCACAGCCTGGATATTCTTTTTTTTACAGTTGGTTCTCATGACTACTGTGTAGTTTCTGACTCTCAAGGCTTACCTTGCTGTTTATTGTTTTCAGCTGTGTATTCTTCATGATGTGGTCAGATATTGTTGCAAATTAAAGCATCCAACAGAAGTCTTTTGTAATAAAGTATGTGAAGTACATGTCTGTCCTGATGTCATCCAGTCAAATTGTAGCTCTGTGGCTGTGCACTAGACCACGAGCTGGCAGTCATACAGCCCAAGGGGTGGTTAAAGTATCTGAAGAACAGTCTTAGCAGGTATGAAAATAGCAGGTAGATGAGATGAAAAAATAAAAAAATAACTTGAAGGATGGTCGGTCTGTTTGCATGTTTAGGACTAGGCAGTGATGTGGTTCTCCCTTGCAGCAAGTTTGTTTTAACAAAGAAGTTGTTAGACAGTGTTTTGCAGGTGTTTATCAAATACATCAATCTCTGGGAGTGAAGTACTGGCACTGGAAAGACCGTACTTGGGTTGATCGACGTGTCAGTTGGGTAAGAAGGAGAATATATCCACTCACATGAGCAGCCCAGCCATACCAAGGCTTAAGCAGCCTCTTGCACATTTGTGATTTCCAAGGTTCTCAGTGTTATATACTCCTTAGATGGCTTCTTGCTTTCCAACATCAAATTGATAATAGATTAGTTGGCATGGAGGCAGTTTTGGTTGCCAAGAAGCAGTTGCTGTTTTCCACTGAGTTAATTGGGAGGCATACTTTTCCCTGGCTTACTAAATACAGATGATCTTTTATAAACCTCTGCTTTAGTTTTGCATTCTCAGCATTCTGATGATCATTGCAGGTTTGGAGCTTGGAGTGTGAGGGTGGACCCAGCTACAGTAGCAGATAAGACATAGTAGTTCTGATGGCAAGACTTCCTCAAAATCTGCTTTGTTATGCTAACATAAAGGACTGCAGTTTGTTGGTTTTTTTTCCATACTTACGCTTTCAGTCAGCAACAGCCTTAAAAGTACCCTGTAATCAGACCAGGTGGAAAAAAGTAATTTTCCTGACTGTATCTTTACAGTATGTTTCAGGAAAATAAGACCTTAGAATGCCAGAATGCAAATCAGAAGTAGTAAAGTACCTGTGCTACAGTTTTGTGCAATCTACAGGTTGTACTTACGCAACCTTAGATTTCCCATTTTTCTCTTTGTGCTTAGCCTGGAAGCAGAGTGCTTTAATATGGGGACTTTACCAGATTTCTCTCTGATTTCCATTATGCCTCTAGGTCTCTCACTACGTTTGCAAGACCTAGTACTTCAGCACACAGCCAAAATTTGAGAGGGTTATGGTGTGATTCTTTAGAGATTACCAAGTTTGGTACAGTTCAAGCAGTATGTTGTGTGACTTGCTGCTAAAACCAGAATGGGGCATTTTGTTGCAAATATTTATTGCTTACAGTAAATTTAGTAAAACTGTTAAGGATTGTCTAGAGCGTCTGTGATTCAAATACTTGTCTTGAAAGACCAAAGTATAGCCATGTATTTGCATGTAGTTGTAATTGTATCTCTGATTGAAATGTGCATGTAAAGAAGAAGGTGAATTGCAATAAAGAATTTCAGTGTTAAATGTGAATATATTCTGGAGTTCTCTGAAAGGTTTCTCTGGTTGTGGGCTAGCCACTAGAACATAAACTTTGGATTTATCTAATATCTGAATTTATTTATGCTTAAGAGTTCCCTTTCATTCAGATGAAAACAATGTTTTCCCTTCAGCTGGCATGTAGGTAAGTGTAGCTCTGTAAGGGAGCAGCATGGTTAATAGTGGCATTGAGGGTGGAGTTCTGAGTGGAAGGAATACTAGAAGTTCGGAGCAAAATGAAGGGCTTGTGAAAGCATCAGAATCACTTAGGATTAAGGGAGAAGTAAAGTAGATGTTTTGATATGATTTTTCACGTGTGGAAAAGTGAAAACCTGTTGGCTGCTAAGGAGTCCGTGGAGATCTGATGCCCCAGACCCGGAAAGCCGGGAACCTTCCTTAGAGAGAGAATCCCACAAGGCACTGCCTTCTAGGGGGTTTTCTGGCAGGTCTCCTAGCCGCCGGATAAGCCTCAGCAAGCTGTGGCCTGTGGCCACAAGTGATCAGCTCTGATCAGGGATTTCAGCTCAGTGATTCCAGCTCTGCTTGCGAGGCTATCCCAGGCTGACTCAGGGACAGAGAAATGGGAAGCGTCGTATGGCAAATTCCACAGAGATTCCGTTATTATCCAGCAGCTCTGTGAAGGGAGCCAGGAACGACTGCTCCCCAAAGAACTGGGGGAAAAGCTGGGGTTTTTATGGGGGAAAGCAAGGGTGGTACCAAGGGGGAAAGACCAATGGGTTACAAAGGATTAACATGGGTACTAGGGCATGGTGGGATAACAGAAGATTTTCGAGGATAGCTCACCATGATAAGAAAAGGTGTGCCAAGCTAAGGAGCATCCTTCCAGGAGGGTTGAGATAAGGTAATCACAGCCCATCCAAGGGACATCCTATTCAAGGGATGTCATTCCTAGGGCAAGGCAGCAGGCAGAGGTGTGGCAGGCCAATGGGCCTCCACAAAAACCTACTAAAAGTTGAAAGAGCTGATAATTAAGGCTGGTTAAGCTTTTCATTTTGATAAGATGCATTACTTAGGAATCAATTTTCATTTTTTGCTAGTTGGGTAACAGTAGGTGTTTCTGAATAAGTATTGTTAAAGAATTAGAGGTCACCAAAACCCTACTAACCTAACAATGCCTTTTCTTAAAGGTTGAATTTAAATAAACCTACAGTTGGTTCCGTGTGGTAATATTCCTATGTCACACTATTTAACATAATAAACACTTATGTGTTGGAAAATCCTGATAAGTTTACTTTAGGTCCTTTTCAGATGTCAGTGTTTTTCAGTAGAATTAGTGAACTTCGAGAAGTAGGATGTGCACTGTTCAGAAGCTGTTGCAAAAAAAGGAATTTCGAATTCTGACAGAGTAGAAGCATGTTTCATATCCACCTTCTTTGAAGGGGGGACTAAAAAGTGGTGAGGTCAAGTTCAGAAGTGGGCTGTCCCTTCATGCATTCCTGTAGCATGCTTTGTTTTCTTTTTTAATAAGATTTCTCTGGCTTCCAAGAAGACCATAGATAGCTTCAATTGTAAACTTAGCTTAGTGTTTTAAAGTAGTTGGATCAAGCCCATCACAGGGGGATGGGAACTAGATGATCTGTAAGGTCCCTTCCAACCCAAACCATTGTATGATTTTATGAATAGGATGTAGCAACATCCTTCAACATTGTGGTGGGTTTTTTACTTATTTTTCTTAATTATAAAGGTGGTGGCAGCTTTAAATAAGAGGCTTTATTGGTTGAAGTAACATCAATAGCCAGTGCTCCAAGTACTACAAAAGTAAAAAAAGTCCTTAACTTATGTTAGGAACATCGACTGGTTTGGTTTGATTTCTTTGGGTGTCCTGGTTTTTAGTTTAGCTGCACCTGCATCTTATTGCACATTTATTCTTTACTCTACCCTGCTGTTGCTTTGCCACTAGTTGTGGTGATGAGTGATTGTCATGCTCTCAGGTCCACGCTGCAAACCACAAACAAGATCACCTATGTAGATCTCTGTGGCCTGTTTTTAGCATTCAAGAAGCATTTGGACAACACTCTTAGGCACATGGTGTGATTCTTGGGATTGTCCTGTGCAGGGCCAGAAGTTGGATTCCATGATCCTTGTGAGTTCCTTCCAGCTCAGCATGTTATATAATAAATCTGAACACAATTTTTAAAAAGCCCAGCAGACCAAAGAAAAAATAATCACCAGGATTTCAGGGTTTAGGACAATAAAGCAGACTAGCTTTCAAATAGCTCATCAGCTTTTATGTGTGAACTGTGATGAACATAAGGCTGCAGTCATTGCATATTTATGGATCCACATTTTCTGGCTATTATTAGCTGCTCTGTCTCCTTACAGATACTCCCCCTCTATAGTATGGGGGAAAATACTCCTGTTCAGTCATGTCCATTTTCTCAAAATGAAGTCAGTGTTTAACTGTCTGTAGCTTTTCAGTATCTTTGGTCCCAGCAGTTGGCAGTGGTCTGTGCATTGCCAACCAGTGGTCAAAAGAAATGACTTGTAGTTACCTCCGTACTCTTCCAAGGCAGAACGGTATTTTTGAACAACACAGTACACAGTAGTTTCCCCTTTTGGTCAGTTCACCCATATAATATTTTGTGAATAATTATAAAACTGCTGACTGATGATTTCTAGGGCTTAGGAAGTTTATGTAAGATGAGAGAAAATAATACAAAGTTCATTTTGGGTTTTTTGCATGCTATTTTTTAGACAGTAGTCTCATGAAAAATCGGTGACATCAGAGCAATTGGTAGAGTTGAGGGCATTTTCTTCTACAAAGAACGCAAATAAGCCTAGTGTGACCTTCAATGGTAAGTTTAACTTTTTATTATTATTAATGTCCTCTACCTGTCATTGAACCCCTGTATATATGAAGTTCTACAAATTTCCTGTTTTTTCATAAAAATGTTTGAAGTTTTAGTTTTAATTGCTTTTGAAAAATTTTGAGAAACACCTTTAAACCTAAACCCCATAAATAATTGACTCACTATCTGCCTCTGCTAACTTAAAATTTTGTGTATGTTAAATTACTCAGGATTCCAGAGAATTTATTTTTCATAGTTTATGAGTTTGCAGCACTCACTTGAGCTGCATAGCTGTTTGGCAAAAACTGCATCACAATTTATTACCAATGCTTTTTTTTTTCTTTCCCCCAAGTACAACATGAAAATTAGCAGAGTATCCACCTTTTGTAAGGCTTTTTAAGGATAAGATATTTTAATGAGAGTATTTACACTAAACCATGATGAAACTTTTCTATCTTACTGATTTTTAGATATGGAGTGTCATTAACTTCTAAAGTATTTGATGTCTTAATTTGACTTTCTTTATCAAGTTTAGTAAGTAAAACTGCTCAAGTTTCTCTACATATATTTCAGCTTTTGTCCATGAAACCTCCTAGAGAAGATGGCTGACGTAAGCCTGAAGGAAGCAGCACTAATCGTTTGTGTGGTGGCAGCCTGCTACTGGAACAGTCTCTTTTGTGGGTTTGTTTTTGATGATGTTTCAGCAATTTTGGACAATAAAGATTTGCATCCTTCTACTCCTCTAAGAAATCTGTTTCAGAATGACTTCTGGGGCACTCCAATGTCTGAGGTAAATGATTCGTGAAACACTTTGAAAAGCATAGGAAATTGAAAAAAACCTTTGAGTGTTTTTATACTTCTTTTTCCTAATGTGGTCTTACCAGAATAGCTTGGATTTGATGGAATTTGATGGTGTTAGTATTTTGTACAATAATATCAGGAACACACATAGCTTGTATTCTTTGTTCAATAAAAGAACTAGTAAGAAAAGGAAGTTGTACTGACAGCACACAGCTGCAAGATGTTATTTCCTAAGTAATCACAATATCAAATTGAGCACCTCTACCAATTTATTTTCTCCTGCAAAAGGTAGATATTGACATACTAGGGTATTTATTTCTAAATGCAATCTGGAAGGAAAGATAACACTTAAACAACAAAGCCTGGAATTAGGATATTGAATCTTTTAAATTAATTTGTGTGTATATAGATATAGATATAGATATAGATATAGATATAGATATAGATATAGATATAGATATAGATATAGATATAGATATAGATATGAATTCAGGGTTTCTGATTTCTAGCCCGTATGGAGTGGTTATGTATTATCTGAAAAGCTGCATTGGCATTGGAGCTTTTGATTAGCCATTGCCATTTAACAATGTTTAAGGTTTTTGATATAGTTTTAAAAGTCACACATGGTACTACTGCTGAGCAAATGAATAAAAATTCTCCTCCATTCATACATTCTCTGCTTATCAAAGCATTCCACTTTATAATCTTTTCTTAAGTTCATAACCTACCTTGTGACATAATACTTGCTAGCTCTGCAAATAGACTCTGATACATAATTTTCATGTAACCCTGTAACCAAAGCTTCCAGATGCCATTTAGTTCTGTATTCATTGAGTGTTAAGTAGGTTCCTAAATTCCCCCAGTAAAGTTTCAAATAGTACTTTTTAACATATTTTTACTGGAAAAATCCTTAACCTTGTCTAGTGGAAAAAAGCTTTTTTTGTGGGGGGGCGACTACTAATTTTTATATCTTTGTTTTGAAGGTAGATGGCCTGACAGTAGAAGGGGATTCACGTGTTTAGGTGTTTAGAAAGGTATTTGGGAGTGAAAGTCACTTTGTAAGTTAGTGGTAACTGATTGATTTGTTCATTTTCTTTCAGGAGAGGAGTCATAAATCTTATCGTCCCCTCACAGTTCTAACATTCCGTTTAAACTACTTGTTCAGCGAGTTAAATGCAGTTTCATACCACTTTCTAAACCTGGTCTTTCATGTGGTGGTTTGCATAGTCTTCCTCAAGGTCTGTAAGCTCTTCCTGGACAACAGGAGCAGTGTAGTTGCATCCTTGCTCTTTGCAGTGCACCCAATACATACTGAAGCGGTAGGTACACCTGTGATGTTCTTAATTTGTTCAACCTGTGTTAATTAAACTTAAATTTCATGGTGTTTATGTCTGCTTGTATATATATTTAACTCCAGAAAGTTTGATTTTACTCGTACTTATTCTTCCCTTTGCAGTGAGTGGTAGAAGTAACAAAGTTTCATGCTCAGAGTTGTTTTACATTACATGCAGCTACTGGAAAATAATTAAAGAAACATGATTTGGTTACTAAATAATTTAGGCCTCTGCTATGCACATTGGCTTTTATGACTTCAGTTTACGTAGACATTTGTGTTCTGTGATGATTCATCCAGTATCCTATTTTGCAAATACTATGAACGCCTCTTAATTCATTTCCAGAATCCTTGTGGCTAATCATCATGTCTATTCTGTCTACTTTCCTTTATGTCAATGTGTCTGTCTCAGTGGGACTTTCTCTAGGATTGTTGTTGCTATGCTATAGCCAGCTTAGGTCCAATTCTGTTTGAACCTTCCACTTTTTTAACATATAGTATGTAAGGAAGAAGAAACAAGTTCTCTCCTCTTTTCTTTGATTCTGAAGGAATTCTTCACTGCTGTTAAAAAAAAAAAAAAAAGAACCCAAAAAGCTTTATTTGTACAAGTTTTCTAATCATATACTTTTTAATGGCCAACCAGGCTTGTGGTGTTGTGGAGGAAAGTAAGTCGTGTGATCAGCATTCATTAGATTTATTTCTGCCAGAAAATCTGATAAAGCAGATTTATGGTGTTTTCTGCTGTTATTTCTGCTCCCCTTCAATTTACTTTCCTGGGTTTGAGTACAGGTGTTGCAAAACCCTGTCTCTTTTTTTAAAAATAGTATTAGCTTATTTTCAGAAAACTGAAAATGTTTGAATCTTTGCTGCTTTGGAGGTGAAACCACTTTATTGTGTGGAGGGTGGGGTTTTTTTGTTTAGAAGCGGGGCATAGAGTCTTTCAATTGTAATACAGTAAGAGCGGTTTGCTCTTACTTTGTTGTAATTTTTTTGGTCCTGATTTGTTGGGTAAAGAGTTTGCATATCTCTCACTACTAGTACTGATCCCTTTAAGCAATAGTTAAGAAGCCTGCATCCATGTATTTTGAGCAAATTTTACAGGACTTGAGTTGATAAAGTTGACTTTTAATTGAGTTACTAATATGTCATTGCTAGAAGTTAATGGAATGTTTAAAATGCAGAAGATAGGCACCTAAAAATTTCTGCTTACTCCAAAGCACAAACTCCTCTAAAAACTTGGATAAAATATGGGTTAAAAAAATAAAATTCTGCGTTTCATTTGGTTTTCTTGTTCTTTGAAAAAAACATGCTTTAAATTGCCAAATTTGGCTTTGCCTCTTTGTAGTAAGTGTGATAGGATCTTTGCAGGAGCGTTAGCAAGTTGCCAGTGACTTATGTTAGTGGCTCACAGGTTAGATCATTGGGTGTAATTTTTCCACTTTCCGTCCAAATTTGAGTGACTCTTTATTATACCTGAACTCTCAGATTCCGTCCGAAATAAGTAGCACAGATGCTTTTAGTACTGTGCGTCAGAGTTAATAAAAAGTGCCGTGCAACCTAGAGCCCATTGTGTAACACAAGCGAATTGCGAAAGACAGCGTTGCGTTGTTCTGAAGCGATTTGGTGTAATGCCCGGTGTCGGCCACGTGGGGGCACTGTAACACAGGGATGGCTGCAGCTTGGTGCTGGCCTGGGAACTGCGACACCGATTCGAGTTGAATCCCCTGCTGTTGTACCTAGGCACTCAGTGAGGAGTCAGATAAGGACTTGGCTTCTTCTTACCCTACCTTTTTTACTGCGTAAAAAGAACAATGAAGGTCTCCTTACACAGAAAAGAGGAGGTAATAATGAGATGTATGTTAGGACTAGGGGTTTTTATATCTTTTATATTTGAAAGGTATCTGGTCTTAATTCCTTCAAATTAATCTCCTACTTACTAGTCAACTGCACAAGAGTTTGAAACAGCAGATACAATACATAAATATTTCAACCCTTTGCCTCTCTTACAATAAACAGATTTTTCCTGGAAATGTTATCAGAGCAGGATAAGTAGATGTTTTTCTGCTTGAGTTCAGAAGGAAGCTAGGCTCTTGCATTGGTAGTATTTGTTTTTCTGAGGAAGAATTTTTTAGGAAATGGGTTGAATAGCAGCATCATAGTTTCTTTTGTCCTTGTCTTTACAATTCCAGTTCAGTCTTCCTAGCTGCTTTGCTACTGTTCTGGCCAGAAGTATGTGAACTACCTCTATAACTATAGGATGTCAACTAACCTTGTGAGAGCTGGAATTTTCTCTCATAAGTCACGTTTGTATCCAGAAATAGAACCTCTGTGTTGACAGTGAACTGTGGAGGCACCAACATGCTTTATTAATGTTCTCTTTCAACTGATCTACAGATAAAGTTCTCTTTAATGTCTTAATGCTACACAATTTTGGAATCTAGACCAGGAATCTTTGAAACATCTTAAGATATTTTGGAAACAAATACTTAGATGCTCTTCAAAATACTAACACAAACTGTGGTGTCTTACCAATTGTGCCACATGCTTTGTGCATGATTCAGTGAATCTTTTGGTAAACATATAGTAGTCCCAAGAGAACTACTAAAGTGTGATTTCAGATTCAGATTAGAATGCTTTTCTTTACACTATGACCTTGGATACTGAGTTACTTTCTCATTTTATGCTGTGCTAGATCAACCATGCTTGGCCAAGAATGTACTAGCAGTAAAACTTTCTAGCTGGGTCTGGATGGTAAAGTTTTCAGCATCATCGTAGTTAAATCATGAGCTATGCAGTTTCCTTAGCTAAATACAACCATCTGCCTCAGGACAGTATGCTGGTTTTTAGCCATGTTATTTGTAAACGTTTGGAAGCAATCAGAGGCTTTACAGAAGAGGATAAGTGAGGAAGTATGGTAGTCCTAGAAGGTACTGTAATCAACACAGTGGCTACTGCAATAGCCATGAGCATAATGACCTGTCATCCATATCAGGTTGTTGGTTTCACCTTAGCGTTTTTTGAAAACAGTTCTTGAAATGGGAATGAATCTCTGTTTCTTTTGGGATTCTGAAACAGCCCTCTGCCATATGAGTTTTAATGCTTCTCTGAATTTCATAAAATCCACTCTACTCTGTCTCATCAAGAGAAGAGAGGTTGCTATTGAACACTGAAATGTTGAGTACATTAGCCTTCTCCTTGTCCATTGTTACCAGTTTTTCAGCTCTATTGGTGTGGGGAGCTACACCTCTGACAGTCCTTTTCTGGTTGACCTACCTGTAGAAATCTTTTTTATTATTCTTTATGTCCCTTGCCATGTTCAGTTCCAGCTTTGCCTTGGCCTTCCTCATCCCATCTCTGCACAACTGAGCTTTGTCCCAGGTTATTCTTGTCAGTTTATCTGTCCTTGTTTCTGCTGCCTGGGCATTTCCTTCTTTCACTTTAGTTCGACCAGCAGTTCTCTACTCAGCAACACTGAATTCTTGCTTTCCTTACCTAATTTCTTGCTCCTGGGAAATTTGTGACTCCTCTGCTCTTTGGAATACTTCCTTAAAGATTTGCTAGCTTTATATAATAATAAGTATCTAATAACATAAAAATAACATACTTAGATAACTAATAAAAACTCAACAAATGCTATCTTAAAATGTCAAATAATAATAAATATTTAATAATAATTAAGGTGTTTCTTCTTTTATTTTTCAGGTAACTGGAGTTGTGGGCAGAGCAGAGCTTTTGTCATCTATTTTTTTCCTAGCTGCTTTTTTGTCATACACAAAGTCTAAAGGGCCAGATAATACCATAGGTAAATGATTGACAAATAGAGATATAATTTGATTTCCTTAAAACTCTTACAACCATAATAGAGGTGTACTGGTTATTCAGCAAGTGTGTACCAAAGCCTCTTCAGAGCCAAGATACCCACATAATATTACTTTCCATTATACATTGCATTTTTTTCCCCCAAGACTTAGGCGTTTATTTAATTAGTTTAATAATACCTACTCTAGGGGATCCTTGTGCTTTTATTTTTGCAATGTAAGTGGAAGTGGGCTGAGGTACCTCAGATGGTCAGTCACAAGTAAGCTGCAAAGTTTCGGTGCGGATGAAGGAGGCTTTCGTTTTTGCTAGAATCAGATTGACACAGTGAGAAATAATAAAAGTATTCCATTTCCAAAAATTCTTTGGTGATTTAGGAAATACTGAGATATTTTGTTTTACTTATTTATAAATTAGTCTTTTACCCTTCATTTATTTCTTTCAATTTAAGGGAGGCAGTTTTAAACTTGATGCATTTGTATTATTTTCTGTAGAGTAAAACTAGTCATCTTTCATAAGAAATTACATACTAAACAAGTTTACAGAACATGGCATATTTAAGCATGAGGGGCCAAAGCCTTCACTTTTTAGGTTAATTTACTTTATTAAATGTTTGTGGTTTTTGTAAGATGGAACATTTTCAATAACATCTTCTTTATTTGCAGTGTGGACTCCAATTGCAGTGACTGTATTTCTAGTAGCTGTTGCAACACTGTGTAAAGAACAGGGAATAACTGTGGTGGGGATATGCTGTGTGTATGAAGTCTTTATTGCTCAAGGGGTAAGCTGTTGAAAAATAAAGTGAATTTCTGTTATGAGAAATTAAGTACCTCAAAGCATCATATTTTAGCACTGATCTTTCTCAGTTCAGGTTAACTCAATAGTTCTGTTACATTTTTCAGATTTTTTTGAGTCAGTTCATGTTTGACAGTTCATGGTGAGAGAATCAAATGATTTCCAAGTTGTCCTTTACATGCCATGCAGAGATGTTAGCAAAATACTTAGTAAATACTTGACAGGTCTTAATGGAAACCTATGGTTTTAGCTGTCTGAGATTTCCGAATCCTAACATGTAGCAGTCTGGATTAAAGTTGGAGGTGGATCAAGTTAGGGGATTATTTGTTTTTAATCCGTGTAGTAAAAATAGAGAACATATTATATACAGATTCATTTAATCATTTTCTATTGAGAAACCGGATGTTTTAGAGTAGTCCTATTTAAATAAGTGATATTCTTAAGAAATTTGTTGTTCTAAGAATAGTGTTATGATAAGTTTCATTTTAAGCATTGATAAGCCTTTAAATTAATAGTAACTTTTCCTTAAAGAAGGTTTTCCTGCAATTAAATAATTCTAAACTTTTAAATAATCAAAATAATTGTCATTTAAAATGTAGCATTGCACATTTTAAAATTTTATAGTTATTATTCCTTAATTACTTGCAGGAAAATTTTGCAAACAATACACCAATAAATTTTAAATATTGTCTATCCTGGGGACCTGTAATTAAGGCCAAAATACCAAAATCAAAAATATGTCTTTGTAACTATTGCCCTTGCAGATCTAATGAGTTAAAATGCAATTTTCTAGCTGGATTTTTAAGGAAATCACCAGTACATCCATGGTTTTCAGCCCAGTCTTCCTTTCTTTTAGTAACTTTTGATCTCATCTTCAATTTCACTAAAGTTTAACAAGATTGTGTGAGTCAGTTGAGTAGGAAAAATAAAATGCAGACTGAGGCTTCTGAAAGCACAGGTGTCACATGAAATGAGAGTTTTACCAATCCTCAAAATCCTTTCACTTTCTGTAGTTTAGCCAACTAGTATACATGAAGCAATAAATCATCACCAGCAGAAGTCACAACGACGAAGGGGAAGAGTTACACAGAGCAGAAATTAGCTTATGTAATAGGAAACTGTGCAAGATTATGATGTTCATGAGGCAAGGAATGACACCTTACTGTAGCAGAGACATAAAATAGCCAGGCTAATTAAGAAGCGAACAGTATTTCTGTCATTCGTAAGGAATTTTGTTTATAGGGCAAGTTTTCAGAGGGGCTGATAATTCTGAAAATAGTGATTTTTTTCTTCTTGAGAGTTTATCTCGTGGTTTTGGTTCATTTGTTCAAGTCTCTGAAGATGGTACAATTTTTTTGATCTGTCAGCACAAAATAGCTCCAGGTGTACAGGTTCAGCTGTGATAGTGTTAGCAAGAATACTTGAATAGTTTATTAGAATGGAGACCTTATTTTGGGGACCTTTCATGAAGGCGCCAAGAAGCTGAATTAAGTAACTATTGGAGCAGATGTTTACAGAAAACCAAGGAAAAAAGTATTAGGTAGCTCATATTTATATAAGGGAGTAATGAGTACCCTGTCTGATTATAAACAATTTTTTAATTTGCAGTACACCTTGCCAGCATTATTGGACACAGCTGTACAGATTCTTCGAGGGAAGGGCAGTATTCCTTTCTCTATGCTCCAAACACTATTGAAGCTCATAGTCCTAATGTTCAGTACACTCCTGCTTGTAGTTGTCAGAGTCCAGGTTATCCAGTCTCAGCTTCCAGTGTTTACAAGGTAATAGTAAAGTGTTTTATTAATTTTTGTTTATAAACAAAATGTGACTTAATAAAGTCAAAATGAAATGGCCAGAAAGATATGAACTTAAGTGTTACTCACTGCAAGTGTATTTTTTAATATTATTGTTCAATGTCAGTACAGTATTGCATTTTTTGTGAAATTGCTGAATGATATATTTCAGCAACTGTTGACTAAAATGTCCAAAATATTGAGGTATCTGAGCAGGCAGACATTTAAAAAAGTTTACAGTTGATAGTTTATCTTATGAATTCAGAAATTAAATATCTTATTGCTTAAGTATTTTTTTATTGTCTCTGTGTTTGAACCTTGGCTGAATTCTCCAAACCTCTTATATCTTTCCTCTTCTACATATAGAATATATTTTACATTTTAGGTATGTACTATGTGGAAAACATGGTTGTCTTTAGATAAACTACTTGAATAGGTGTATATCAATGACATTAGAACTGAAAAACTAATTTATTTTAAGTTTGAGCAATGTAGAAATACAAGGATTTAATACTGCCCCTAAGGAAATGAGACAAACTATTAAAAACATGAGCAAGGACCACTGAACTCGAGATGTAAATCATTCTGTTTCTTCAAACTTATGTTGATTATATCCCAAAACAGTTTTATAAACATGGAGGAGGTTCTATCCCTCTCTTCAATGAATCATTGTGCATGGTTTCACACCTGACAAATGCAGGAGGATTAGAATATTTTACATGTCTATAGTTAGTAGTTCTAGCTATGACTCTAAAGTTTGCTGCAAAGTGAATCAAAACCATATCTTTCTTGATTAAAAGCTCCTTTTTCTCCTTTCTTTTGCTTTAGGTTTGATAACCCAGCTGCTGTTAGTCCATCCCCAGCAAGACAACTGACTTTCAACTACCTCCTCCCTGTAAATGCTTGGCTTCTTCTCAATCCTTCAGAATTATGCTGTGACTGGACAATGGGAACTATTCCTCTTGTGGAGTCTTTGTTAGATGTTAGAAATGTTGCCACCCTTACTTTCTTTTGCTTTCTGGGATCTTTGATGGTCTTCAGTCTTCGATACCCTGGGGATTCCTCCAAGACAGTATTGATGGTATGAATGATGCACTCTTTTTGTCCTTTTGTTAAGAATAAGTGGCTCAGGTTGTATGGCCACATGTGTGATCTACTGTGACCCAGAGATACTATGTGCATCTTCTTTTGGGCTAAAATGAACATAAAAGAGGAAAATTGTCTAGCAACAAAACGGCTAAATTGCAATTAAGTATGTGATTCTGTCAGAGATGAGAGTAGATATGCCCCTTGTTATGCATTTGTAAACTGTATTGCAGCCTTTCTCAGATATTCAGAGCTCAACTGGCACATGGGGGGGTTTCAGTAGAATTTAAATGTGTTTCAAGGACCAGAATGCATTTTCATCCTGCAAGCTGTCTACTTTATTTAAATGTCAGAAGTCGTGATGTGTATTTAGCAAGAGATTTGATTTTCTTCCTCATAGGTGTAAAAGGATGGACATATTTTTGCATTTAGGAATAAGGTTTCCAGTTTTGTTATTGTTGTTTTGTTTTTCTTCTGTAAGTTGTTTTCTTATTATGAAAAACTAATTTTGTCAAGCTGTGAGGTCAGTTCCTGTCTGTCTCAGCATTATTATAGATGATCTTAAAACTGAGGTGGATTAACAGAATATTTTGGAAGAAATGGGAAGGATCAAAGAGCTGGTATTTTTGAAAAAAAACAGTCATCAATTATTGAGTTCATTGCAAATTTTTACGAGCTGAATGGTAACCTGATACCATACTTGTTATTAGTTCAGTGGTCCAGTTATATGTACAGCTAAGCAACATGCATTTATCTTACTCTGCTTCAGAAATAATGTATTTTTTTAGTATGTTAATCAGCCAACAGAAGTTTCAGATGGGTGGAAATATTTATGCATAACTTAAGATTTAAGTAGTTCTTTGCTAAGCAGCTGACAAATTTTGATTCACTTCTAAAAGACCTAGCATTATAGTTCTGACTCATATGTTTTTTCTTGTCTTGTCACTGGAGTGAGGCAATATATTTCACTAGAAAACCAGTGAAAATGATATCTAGTATTGCTGATGAAATATCTTGTCCTGAATTTGGAAGTAGTGTATGAAGAGAAGAAATTTAGATAGCTTATTGATATCATAAACGTGCAAGGTGACATGCTTGGAAAATGAGTTTTACCACACTTCAAATACACAAAGGAGTTGTTGCATTTTCCTCCTTATATAAGCTGAAGCATAAGTTTTTCTCCACTGCATTGTTAGTAGGAAAAATGTGTGTGAGGAGTGGTTCACTTTTTTTATAGGACAGCTCTTGAATTATAAGGCTGTTTATTTTCCTGCATTTTTGTTTATTCCCTACCTGGTGAAGCTCACAAGAGGAAAGGATTAATGGGTTTGTCAGCATACCTTGATGTCAGTCAGTTAGGTCTGGGGGTGGTATTTTTATATGTGTTTTTATCATTCCAAGTGCCTTCTATAGGAAGGATTTTCTGAGATCATTCCCTCCAGCATGCAAGCCTCAATGTCACCTGACACCATATAGTCCTGGTTTAATGCAAGTTGTTTTCCTTCAATCTGTACCTATATTGTATATACAGCTTTCAGTATGAAACTGATTCTTCTTCAGCATTGAAGTGCCTGGAAGCTAATTTAGTAGAAAATGGGAATGCAATCTTTTATATTAAATATTAATTGTTATGTATTATGAAACAATACGATAGGCCAAAGCTTCTTGCTGCATTCCAGTAAGCCATTAATATCCCCAGGTAATCAATGTATTCTGTATGTTGTGAGGCTCAGTTGCGTTTTTGTTTTAGTGGAGTTTAATGAAGCAGCTGAGCTGTGTTAATGTGCATATTCTTGAAATATCCTTGAAATACAAGGTAAAATCTTATTTGAAGTTTTAAATCAGTGTTGCATTTTTATATATGTAATCCTAGGTTGTTTTTCAAACTGGATTATTTAACTGTTTTAGCATGGAAGAGGCAGTTAATGTGATGCTTAAATCTAGGCAATCGGATGTTCGGAAAGTTTCTAGTAAATTCCTCTTTCTTCTGTTTTTGTGGATTTTATTTTTTTTTTTTTTGTAACTTGGAGGCCAGATATTTTAAAATAATTATTCATGTCTTTTCTGAAACCAGAAATTGAGAAGCCACTACTTAACAGTCACGCAGGACTTAAAGCAACTGGTCATGTCCACTTTCTTTGCAGCAGATGGATTTCTTTGTCTCGTAATAAGCACAATTTTTGATGAGCAGTCAGTCCCTAGCCTAAGAACTCGTGCAGTTCTTAAGTTGTAGTTTCATATACTTTGGGATGCTCTCAGTGCTCTGTCCAAAAACAGATATTTATTCAGTGACTGGTTCTGTTAGTCACATTTCTTACAGAAACACAAACCAGATTCTATTGCACCATAAAAATAGCTCCTTTATGCCTCAAATAAGCTGATACAAATTTTTAATTGTTAGATAATTTCCAAGGTTCTTATGCTGTCTTGTTTCTGTATCTTATTAAAACAGTGTTTTGAATTTAGTTAATCCTTTGATCCTATTGCTTTATCCACTTTTTGTAGTATAGAAAAGCAAATAGACTTTCAAGCCCTTAAGGAATAGAATAATTTGCAGGTTACTACTTGCCGTATTCAGAGTGATCTCAATGTAAAACAGATCTGAATGTTAAAAAAAAACAAAAAAAAGACCAAATATCTACTATGTATGTCTCGGCTTATGAGATGACATTTGTAATTTGTAACTTTTTTCTTGGGCACAGTTGGTCACTGCCAATATATCGATTCCTAATGTATTTTGTATTTCCTTTCTAGGCACTCTGCTTAATAGTGCTGCCGTTCATTCCTGCATCAAACCTGTTTTTTCCTGTTGGGTTCGTAGTAGCAGAACGGGTGTTATATGTTCCTAGCATGGGATTCTGCATTTTGGTAGCACATGGATGGAAGAAATTATCAAATAAAAGGTAAATAAATTCATACTGATAAAAGTCCTAATGGGAAAGCTTGCATAGCCGTAAATATGGTTATCTTCTATGAAAATAACTGATGAGTATAAATTAAAACTGGTTTAACTTTGAATAAAGTTGATTATTGACTGAAGTTTATACAGTGCATATGTGTCAGAAAATTAAAGTTTCTGAAAATTTAATCAGTAAAAGACTAAATTTTCAGAAGTTCCATGATAGGAATGCATATCAGAGCCATTCAGTATTTGTCAAACAAAAGATTTCTTTGGTTAACAATTTCTCCTTTAAAAATTGTGCTCTAAGAGCACGTTTTGCACACGCTTTTGTGTTTTCTGATATCTTCTGCATTGCTCTGGACATACCTCCCACTGACGTGGATGCTTTACCCTTCTTAGCCCAGTGGCATCCTAATGCCAATTAGATAAATGGAAAGGCAGCAATTTGCAGTCTGTTGTCTGCTCTTGTTAGAGATGAGGCCTTGCAGTAAAATTTACACTAACCTGGTGCTGCTGAAACTGACATCATCTGGATAATGGGAAATTAGTGATATATTGTGGGAGTGTGGATTTCTCACAAATACCATTTTGAGGCAGTAAAAATAGAAGTGATATTAAAGAAAACAAGGAACCAGGAGAGGATGGCTAGGGAGAAAAATTAGGCAGCTAGTGTCATTTACTACAAAAAATACTGGAAATCAGTTCTCTAAAATGAGAAAGAAAAGGTTTCTTGCTTTAGAAATATGTGGAGAGAAAAAAAGCCTTATGGGCGCACAGATTACTGTATATGCCAGTTCTCATTGATCACTTCGGTAGTGTTTTAGAATTGCTCTCTTAATTTTACAGTTCCATTTTTTAGCGTTTTTAAAACCAAACATGGTAGACAAAACATGCATTTTGTTTCTCTTAGAAGCAGCAGGGGGGAACCTTGTAGTTTTTAGTTAAAACCTGTGAAGTTGGTAGCAGAACGAACAACTATTCCATAAGTCAAATCTAAGAAATAGCTGTTGAGGATGAATCCCTCTATGTCCACTCAAGAATGAGATTTTTTTTTGTAAACAAATGATATTCAAAATTGTGAAAAGTCTATTGAAAGTTTGACATCTTTTTCATAATTGAATTAGAATCCAGAAACCAAATGATCAGCATGTTAAAAAAGTATATGGTTTATATCTGTCATGTTTAAACTCCATAATAATAAAAACGACACAAAATGAAGATTATTCCTGACAAACTTGTCACAGAGAGTGGTGTTTGCCACAGTTTGCAGCTTTAAAAATAAAATTGCTAGAAAGACACTAAACCTTTCTCCTACTTAGATATTACAGTAGCACTAGAATTGCATTTGCTTATGGAAGATTGGGTAGTCTCCACAGACCTGTCCATTAAGGTATGTTCTACACTGTGGGAAAGATTGGCCATGTGTGCAGTAAAGAATATGTGTGGAATTGTCTGATGTGAAACAAAGTATGGGCTGATATTTTTTTAGTTGCCTTTTTCATTTTCTAGCATTTTGAATAGTGTTTTGGAGAACCTCACTTTTTTGGCATCATATTTATTGTCCTAAATTACAGATAAGTTTTAAGAGAAGTATAATTTCTGTAAACATTCTATACAAATTCTATTGTGTTATGTGAATTGGGCTTGTTCATATTAAGGGAGTTGCATGGGCATGACAACAAAAGCAGGTAAAATTAATTTGAAATTAAACATAGTTTCCTTTCAAACTCTGGAGTGTGCTAATCATAAATGTGGTCCTTTGTTTGCCTTTTAGCATATGAGATACTTATTTTAATAATTAGAATTGTTGGTATGCTTACAATAAGTCTTTGTTTTATTTAATAGTGTGCTGAGAAAAATTTCTTGGGTTTGTTTGGCTGCGGTGCTATTCACTCATGCCTTAAAAACACTGCACAGAAACTGGGATTGGGAGTCGGAGTACACTTTGTTTATGTCCGCTTTAAAGGTACTGTATTCTGTTTGGAAAGGGTAATGGGAAGTTCTTGTTGCTATTCTTAAGAAGCTGCAGTGGAACATGAGAAAAATGGACAAAAATTATGTGTGTTTTGGTACATTAATTTTCATATTGAGCGCATTGGCATTTTAATTAGTTGCTTTTGGGAATGCTTTAAAAGTAGTGTGATGCACACATAGCAATTCATATGCAGAAAATAAATGATAATTTTTGTTGTGTCAAAGCAGTTGAATTTCTCTTGTCTGGATGAAAGCAGAATACATTTCAGTACGAAAATCTACAAAAAGTTTGATGCATAGAATTACTTCTTCTAAGTTCATATGGCATGATAAGGCAGTTTGCAAAACATCCCATAATCATTACAATGAACTTTAAGATGCTTGGTATTTCTAGGGGCAAATAACTAAAACAAATTGATGTTGCACAACAGGATCAATGTAATCATTCTGTATGTAGTGTTTTGTTATTCTTTGCATATAGAAACTTGATGAAATCTGTCATTTGCAGTACATTTTTGTCTTAAGATATTGTTAAGAGAAACTCAATTGTTAAGTAATTTCAACTTAATACCTTATGCTTTGGTATCTTTTTCTGGTTTTAGGTAAATAAGAACAATGCAAAACTATGGAACAATGTGGGGCATGCATTGGAAAATGAAAAAAATTTTGAAAGAGCTCTGCAGTTTTTCATACAGGCCACACAAGTGCAACCAGGTAAAGCTTTGACTAGTTGCCATCTCTGTACACCCGGTATTTCAGTATACTTAGCTTACTTAACAGCTTCTCAATAGGCTGTTTTGCTTCAACTGAACATCAAATAATGTCATATAGTAAGTTAATTGATCTGGGGTTTTTGGAGATAAATTAAAAATGTCCTCTGTGAAAGATTTCTATCTATAAAAAGATGCAAATACTTTCAAAACTATTCCATGTATGACATTCTTTATGAATTAATTTAAACTGTGATTTCATATGGAGTAAAAATATTGCTTTATTTTTTTATTCAAAACCAAGGAAGTGTGTAAGAAAATAAAAAAATCTAGGTAATATCAAAATGCACATTTAATCCATTTTACGTATTGTTGCAAAAGAAGTTCTGGAGTAGTACTGGATAATCTTACCTTTTAGAAGATTAATAAATAAGCTTCAATTTATATGCCTCTATTGTAACAAGAAATTAGATATAGGGAAGTATGGTAGGACCTCAAACTTCAGGTTTCCCAAGTAATTTCATAATCCCTCTTTAGGTCATGGTTAAATTGTTAGCTTCATAATTAAGATGAAAAATGATAGAATTGCTTTCTTCTTTTGGAGATGGGGATTTCTATCAGAATACCTGTACTTTATGCTACTTTGAATGCAGAGGTGTTTAATGTCATGATACTCAGTGCATAGAAATATTTTAAATTTCATTCTTTTCTTTATTTAGATGATATTGGTGCCCACATGAATGTAGGAAGAACTTACAAGAACCTAAACAAAACAAAAGAAGCTGAAGAATCATATATGATTGCTAAATCATTGATGCCACAGGTAATTGGTAACTTTATTTTACCTACTGCTGTAGGACAGAACCTTTATTTGTGATATTTTTTGTATTTTTCCTGTGGCTCTGTGTGGCTGTATACTTTAAAGTTTATCAGTGTTCTCTTAAAAGCTAATGACTGTTAAAAAAATGCTCACTTGGAAGTCCCCTACAACTGTTTTAATTTACTTTTTATACTGCTGTGTTGTGATTTGATTTTTCGTTTTCCCTGAAATTGAGGTTATAAAAGAAAGCAGCAGCCAAAAACTACCATTTCTAGTCACAATTGGTTTATTTTCACTTACAGCTAATAAAGTGATGGTGACTGAGTTTCTGAGCCCTTCAGAGAAGGCTTAAATAACAGCCTTATTGGAGGTTGTAGAAGGTAGCCAGAGCAACAACAAAAAAAATTTGCCTGAACATACTTTTATAAACATGTGTTTTGTTACCTTTCCTATTTGTTAAGTTATACCTAGGAAATTTTACTTGTTCAAGCTCTTTAGAGAAAAAGAGAGTATTTTGAAGAATATGTGAAAGTAATAAAAGCTGTGGTGAAAATGAGACTGGCAACAAAAATGAGCAGCCCTTTGAGTTGAAGCATGACATTTAAAAGCTTGTGCTGTGAAACAGTATGAAGATTCTAAATAGATAAAGTATAAACAGTATGGCAGTTGCAATGTTACAGCATTTTCATCTTTCCTCATTACCTTTCATTTTCTATATCAGTTGGCAAATCATTGGCTGTAAAATCTTATTTACACTTTTCTTAGGCTGAAGGGTTATAAAAAGGAATGAAAATGTCTGACAGAACGTCAGTTTAGAGTTTAGGAAATATTTTTGTCTGACTGGGGAAAGTTCCAAGGTCTGTTTCGTTTCCAATGACTATCTACATGAGCTAAATTAAGTAGTAGCAGAGCTTAATTAACTGGTATCTTAAATATTGTACAAGTTATCTATGTTTTCATAGGCATAAAGAATAAAAAAATATGCTGTTTATTTTTTGATGTGATTTTTCTGGAGAAGAATTACAGCTCTTTGTCATTTTCAGGAGCCTACACACTAATGTCCAGTAGTACCCTAAAACAAATGTGGCAGAGTGAAAAGGAGTTCTGTACTGATCATCTTTCATATTTTTGCTCATCTGTGTTTGGTACATATATTCTCTTTGACAGATTATTCCAGGGAAGAAGTATGCAGCAAGAGTTGCTCCCAACCATCTAAATGTTTATATCAATCTTGCAAACTTAATTCGAGCCAACGAATCTCGCCTTGAAGAAGCGGATCAGTTATATCGCCAGGCAATTAGTATGAGGCCGGATTTCAAGCAGGCTTACATCAGCAGGTATATTTTCTAGTTTTAGAGATCCATATTCTTGGATAAACTTAGTAGTTTGTATTTGCAGTAGTATGAACAGTATTAGTTTGTACAGCTCAATTAGCTGTTGAAATTGTTTCGTTTCCAAGTGAGAAGCTGAAGATTTGGGACAATAATCAAGTATTCATTACAAGTCCTCTTCTTTTAAATTCCTGCTTCAAATGGCATATTTCCATGTAGGTTCTGTATTCAAACATTGTGTAGAAAGACACTTCTGTTAGATTTCTTTATGAATCTCTAACTCAAATTTCTCACCTCATAGTTTAGTTTTGAACTAAAGAGCTTTTGGTTAGTGTGAATCATGGAGCTTTCTTTATACCTTTTGTTAAAGATGGTCCAGAAAATGCAAGTCCTAACTATTTAGTTGACATTAACTGCATTTTAGTTAAGAGTGATGTGGATGTGAGTGTTGAGGCTTCTGTCCACTGCTTTGTTTGTTGTGATTCCCACTGGGACTTAGGGAGGTTCAAAGATGCCTGAACTATAGCTTTGCAGTGTAATTACAGAGCCAAATCAGGCACCTTTGATCACTTTCTTGTCCTGTTTATGCATTTGCTGTATACAAGTTTTTGAACTGAACAGCTGAAAGCTCTAGGAATAGAATGTAAAAGAGGGTCTTGTATTGCTTTGTGCTTAAAACTAAGAAAATAAAAAAAACTCTGTTATCTGACATCTACTGTCTGTAGGAAGGCAAACTTTAAAAAAGCCTGTCAATTTTCATAGGGGTAACAATAAAAGTGTGGTTCTTAAACAGGGGAGAATTACTTTTAAAAATGAACAAACCTCTGAAAGCCAAGGAAGCTTACCTCAGAGCTCTAGAACTAGACAGAACCAATGCAGACCTGTGGTACAACTTGGCAATCGTTTACATTGAACTGAAAGATCCAACAGAAGCTCTGAAGAATTTCAACCAAGCACTAGAACTCAACCCAACGCATAAACTGGCATTATTCAACTCAGCGCTGCTAATGCAGGAATCTGGTATGTTAATTGTCCCTTTTATGCATATTTCCTATTTGCATTTATGGGATCCATACTAATTAATTCCTTTTATTAACTCTTCTGTTTTTAGAAAGAAGTACATAGCATCATCAAAAAAGAAACTGTTTATTGCAGCTTTTGAATTCATACTGTATGGAATTTGTGCAGTGTACATATACCTTGGCTGATCAGAATCTCTAATACATGTGCTGTTTTACAATATAATATCTTACACGTATAAAGAACAGTGTTACTCAAACATCTTCAAAATAATGCCTTATATAATCTTTAAAGATAATATTTAGTAAAATATGTTAAATACCTGGCTTGCATTTATAGTGACTGATTTAATTATTGACTCAAAAATCTAGCTTATGTGTCTGGGCTTAAATCCAGCTGTAGAAATATGAATGTTTTCATAGGTTTTTCTGTGATACTTCTAATTGGGATGAATTCAGTTGGTTTTTTATGGGTTGTTTTTCATATGCGTAGTTCCGTGGGTAAGGGTGAGCCTTTAATGAATTAAGGCTGTTGCAAAGAGTATTTGGCAAGTGAACTGCTAAGATTTGTTTCCCTTTTGTTGGGATGATAAACTGCCCATAAGTGTTGGAAAGCGGATTGTCTTGCCACAGTGCATCTTTCACAGGTCTAGTTCTCCATAACATCTGGTCTTTTTGCAAGGCCATCTTTGAAACTTATTTCTAGTTCAATCTCTCTCTCAACAATGTCTTCTCTATTGCATGGTCTTTCTAAGTCAACACACCCTATCTCAGAGTTTGCATACAGAGGTACAAGGCTATGTGAGCTTTCAGTCAGGCTTTGAGAATCCTTTACAAATCCCATTTCTCACACCTAAGGAAGATAAAACAGAGTTGATTGAAGCTGAGGACACTTGATAATTTTCTGTCTCTTCTCACATTGTAAGTTAGGTAGTTCAAGACATGCTGTGTTCCTTATCTGTAGAATTCCAATCTGCTTCAAACAAGCTGAAGTATTAACTATTTAGTACTCACTTATTCGTATTAGAAGGTGCAACATTGTTTCAGGGGGTTCATTACTAAAATATGTTCACTGTATTATTCAGTAAAATAGCACAGACCACAAGCATGTTTAGCTAATCCTAGTATTGTCAGATAAAATTGTTTTGCTAAGTCTTTTTTAGACTTTGATGCAAATTCAAATATAGGGGTTACAGGTTTTATTGCTTTGGTGTTAGAAGATACCTTAGCCTGGCTACATTAGAAGTCACCCTATGTGCTCTCTGTCTAAATTCTTTCAATCTATCTTCAATATAATGAGATGTTCCACTCACAGTTTGCCTCTGTAAGAGCTGGTTTGTCAGAACTGATGTCTGCTCTGCATTCCATTTGCTCAACTGTGCATGAAAATAATTAATCTTAAGCTTGTAGAGACACTTGTTGTATCTGTTATACCAAACCTAAACATCATCAGCTGCTAACAATGCTGACTTTGGCTAGAAGTCAACTGTATGTAGTTTCATCAGTAAAGAAGGTAGATAACATTTGTTTTTGCTGTTACACAGCTATGATTAAAAGCAGCATTTTAAACCCTTTCCCTTTTACAGTTGCATTCAAATGTGTATAAAGATCAGCATTTTACAGTCTAAAAATCCTCAGAATAAATGTTTCAGGAAATACCTTGAGAATTAAATGCATTTTCTGTCACTTAGGTGATGCACGACTTAGACCTGAAGCTAAACAAAGACTGCTGCATTATGTGAAAGAAGAACCTCAAGATTCAAATGGATACTTCAATTTGGGTATGCTAGCAATGGATGACAAAAAAGACACGGAAGCAGAGGCATGGATGAAGAAAGCTATAAGATTACAGCCAAACTTCCGAAGTGCTTTGTTCAATTTGGCCCTGCTTTATTCTCAGACAGGAAAGGAATTGATGGCTTTGCCTGTCTTGGAAGACCTACTGAGATACTACCCTGATCATACCAAAGGTCTGATTTTGAAAGGAGATATCCTTATGAACCAAAAGAAGGATATTGCTGGAGCAAAAATGTGTTTTGAAAAAATTTTGGAACTGGATCCCAGCAATGTACAAGGAAAACACAATCTTTGTGTGGTTTATTTTGAAGAAAAAGATTTAATAAAGGCAGAAAAATGTCTGGTTGAAACACTAGCACTGGCACCTCATGAAGAGTATATTCAGCGTCATCTAAACATAGTTAGAAGTAAAATTGCATCACTTGGTTCTATGGAACAGTCATCACTCCCATCAGATGGGACTGCAGCTACAGAAGCGAAAAAAAAGTCATTTCAGAATTTGAAAGAAGCAAAAAATGAGAAGAAAACCACCCAATCAACAGCTGATAATAAAGACCACTCAAAAAATAAGAAACCAACAGAGAAAAGCAATGTGGACAAAGAGACTCCAAAAAAATCTGCAAAAGAAATCAAAGACATTGAGAAAAAGAGAGTTGCTGCATTGAAAAGACTAGAAGAAATTGAACGTATATTAAATGGTGAATAGTCTTTACCATGTCACGAAAGAATAAGGGGAAAATGCTATTTTAATTATTGTCTAATTTGTAAGCCAACTGGAAAGTGTTCTCAGTGCTTTGAAAATAGAAATAATGTTGACTGCATATCACTTACCAGGCAGCAAAAGGCATTACAATGCTCTTTGTGAGAAAACCACAACATTTAAATATGATGGAGGGATGGGTGGGAATTGAAGGATAAAGGGTTGAGAAAAATCTTCAATGCAGAATCCTTAATAGTGAGAAAATAGCACTCATGAAAGTCGTTGGTAGTCAGGGATATTAAGTAATGCTACTTTCAAAGACTCAGTGGAAGAACTGACATTTTTCTAGACCACTACTGTACAAGAAAAACAGTTTTTCTTTGCATTATTTCTTTCCAGAACTTAAGAGAGTCATCAGAATGCCACTGGATGTCATATAGGAGGATGCAACAACACACTAAAATTTTCAGTTGCATTTTAATTATGGAATGATATATTAACTTTTAGGTGTTCTTTATTTACAATGCTAATGGTTTGTACTCTTTTATCTGGTAAGAAATCTTACGGTGCTCTTAAGACCTTTAGACTGCTTTTTTATTTTAAAGGAAATGTATGGGGCTTCTTCAACTGTCAATCATCTGATTGTTTTCAAAAATTATATTAAAAAGGGTGGTTTCTTCCCCAGTTCATTGAATGCTGATAAATGCACTTTGGTACAGTAACCAGTATGCTATGCAGTAGTCCATTTTGTTGACTTCGTATCAATGCCTGTGGATTGACTCCTTGGTGTAGTAAATTCTTTCTTGTTTATAGCAATCTGGTTTTACTATTTCTGTCATTGCAACAGTGTTTCTATTCTCATGATTTTTTGCAACACTAATATAAGCAATGTTTGCTCAAGGCAGTGCGATAATAATTAAACCACTGAATTTAGTCATGCTTGACATGAGGCAATGTAGGTAGTATCCTTTCAAATACTAAGTTCTTTTGTTTTGATGCTTCGTCTTGGGTATGTGGTTTTTATTAAATATTTATTTTGACTACTAAAATATTCCCATTTACACTTTTTCACTAGAGCATCATTTAAATTTCTTACAGGAAACAAAAATCTTTGCAATTTCAGTATTGCTTTTATCCTTGTGCAATGCATATATTTTTGTTTAAATATGCTACTGATTACCTAAACCTAATATTTTCCTTAAATCTCAGAAAGAAGTGTAAGAGCTGAGTTCACTCATAATTTTCATTGATCATTAAATCTAACTCTTACTCTTCATGTTTTGTCTTATTTCATGATGTGGAAGTATTCCTTAACAATTTTACTGTTGAAACTTAATCCTTTCCCTACCTGCTCAGCTTTCTGCCTCAGGCAGTAATCCAGCTGTAAGATGTAATAATTATCTCTGTGGGAGAGATCTTAAATGGGTGAAGGGCTTCCTTGAAAAGACCTTTCTTTTATTATGTGTCTTTCTTAATGTTAGCACAACAGTTGCTTGCATGGTAATAACTGGAGGGGGGGTAAAGTGTGCTTAAAAAAACATGCTTTACAAGCAGCTGACAGGAGCAAGTGTATGGTGTGCAGCTATTCCTCATACAGAAGAATATTTAAGTGCTACTTGTAAAGAAGCGCTCACAGGAATCTGTTGACCACACCTTGAAAATCACTTCTCTGTGAATAATTCAGATACTTGCAGCTAAAATAGCAAGTATGTTGACTTTTATAGAAACTTGAACTTCCATATTAAGTCTTCCTCCAAATCTTTGTTTTACAAAAGGATTAGCCATTGTTTTGGGCAAGATGAAGGGATATTCATTTGAAAATGGCAGGAGCTAAGTAGTATGGAAAGGTATTCTGATAGAGAAGGTCAGGATTCTCCTCTTTTCTATATGAAGAGCTCCTGTTATTGCCATTGCCACATACACTGTTTTTACTTGGTGTGAAAATTGAAGAGGGGAGTAAAGACACAGTCTCAATCTTGAGCCTCTGTCATGTCTCATCTTGACCATCCAGGTAATTCTTTAGGTACTGGCAAGAACTGTTAGCTTTGTTGATGGTAAGAAGCGCCATCAGGTTTAAGTAAAATCATCAGACAGATATAATCTGAAGGTTGCTGGATGTCTTCCAGTCTGTTCTCAAGTTCTATTCCCCCTTTGTCTCTCTCAAAGGAATGTTAGTAAAAACAAGTATTCTGACTAACAAATTGTATTTATCCTGTCAGGATGGGTCAGCCTTTTTAAAATTAGGCCTTCACAAGAAAAATGGTTCAGTAAATTGAAGTGACATAGCTTGTGAAAAATTATGAAAATAGCATTTGCACATAGGAAAACTATAAAAAAGAGAAAAATTTGACTTTTTCTGCTTGCAGGTAGAGCAGAATAATCGACAGGTATTTTCCCCCTTCCAGTTCAACCTATCTTTTCTCTCACTGCCTTCATCATGTGTAAAACACCATAAATACCATCCCTTTTCAGAATTCCCTAATTTCACTAAACGCGTAGGAAGTAGGAATTTCTAAGAGTGCGACAGGCATACTAAAATAATTTTCATACATTGCAATTGCTGTGGTTGCTGAAAAAATGGAATGGATGTCTTACCTTTGCATCCATACACGAAATTTTTCCAACTTACACATACAGCTGCAGAGTAAGCATTTTAAGTATTACAGATTTGTGCATGTGATTTCAGTACGGATGCATGCATTTGTCAGATTATTTTTTGGATCTTTTGCAGGTGATTATATACATAGACTCAAACATATGGATTAATGGATATGCATGCATATAGTTGGGACACTTGGACACCTAGAGGTTGTGCAGTTGCAGAGGGACAATGTGCAACTGTAGACTAACCTTTGAATATACAATCATTTTGTCTGCTTTGTACATGAAACCTGAGATTGAATTGCAAGTATTATTTCTTTTCAAAATATTCTTTGCATTACAACCAGTTAAAAACATGATCAGTCACTTCTCGTTTCTTTATTTTGTCTGTTGTTTCTTATCAGCTGGCAGGAAAGTAGCCTAGTATTGTGAAGATTAAGAAAAGTTTTCTACCAACAGGCACATACAAAGTGTTGGGAATTGGATTGGAAAGGATTAAGTGGGACAGAAATCCTTTCAAGGTGTAGTGCAGTTTGTACCTTGATTAGGTAATACTGAAAGCCAAGCTAGAGTAAGCATACAGGAAGAGAGAGCCTGGGGATAGGTAACCTCATGTTGAATGGCACTTCGGAGCAAGCCCTATGAGAAAAGGCAATATTCTGGAAGAGGAGTAAGCTCTCAAAAAAACCCAACATTTTGGCATTGCCATGTGCAGGTTGTCCAGCTCAGATCTCAGCACTTTCCTTTTCTCAGCTGTTGAGCAATCCAAACCCAGGGGCCACTGAAGGCAGGCAGCTCTTCAGGCAGATGCTGCTTGTTTGTCAGAGGAGGCTTTTGCAGGACCTAGCTGTGCCTTGTAGCTCACATGCCTTCTTCATGGCTGTGCGCCTATGGGCTGAAAATGCAGGCATCTGTGCCTTCCTGAAGTTTCTTATGAAAAGACTCAAGATAAAAACAATTCTGGGAAGTTGTCAGGCCATCCCAGTCTTTTACAAACTTAGCATTGCACGAAAGTTTCCACGACGGGTCCTGGAAGGGTTTGGGTGAGTGTATGTGGCTGGGCTTTTCCCTGAAAGTTCTATAATTCGCTTCTGCCTGACCCAGTGTCCGGAATTGCAGCAGAACCTGCTGCTCCAGGAAAGTCCTGCTTCAGCTGCTACCATGTAACTAAAACTTTGTTTTGACTTTGAGCCTAGGAATATCCTGCTTTGCTTGGAAACCTTGACAGTGGAAAGGCTGTAAGACACATTCTACCCATCCTTCACCTCACTTTCTCTGCATACAAAAATACAGCACTCTGTGCAGTATTTCAACTACTTCGAGAAGAACCTGTCCCCCAAACCTCCAACAGACCTTATAAAAACATAAGACTTTCCTTCTTGAAATCGAAATAACATAACTTAGTATGTTACAAATATTACAATGCTACTTTTTGTTTTAAACTATCTTAGATATATATGGCATTTTTATAGCTCTGAGTGATTGGTAGTGCAGTTAATACTCTTAGAAAAACTTTAAAACTGCTTTCTACAGTCTAGTGCCTGTCTACAACCTATGTTCCTTGCAAACAGCCAGAGGAAATCACATACACATATCAATTAACAAAAAGCACCAATGACAAAACCAAACCAAAACAGGAAAAGAAAAAAAACAAAACAAACAAAAAAACCCCAAACAAATCAGAGAACTCTATGCATGATTATCCCGGTTTGGGAAGAACATAATAAACTGTGTAATGTTCTTAGGCTAGGAAAACATCCCAGAAAAACAAACACATTTAACATTCTCTGGCACAGTCATAATTTTAAAGATTGCTGGAAAGAGAATTGGACTTTATGGATGCCATTGACTGTCAACTAAGGAATTCTGTTTAGAATAAAATTAATATGATGTTATTACTCCAGCATAATGCAAACAACTGTTAGCTGCTACATCTTTATAAGTATAAGAAAGACACTACCAAATAAAAGGGAATTAAAAAACCTTGTTCAGCTTGTGTCTTCACCAGTGCTTACAGAACTGTACATGTCTTTTGCTAAATATCCATACAGAGACACTAACATTACAGCAAATTTAGGGATTACCTGCTTACATGGGTGATCTCAGTCTTTGGTTATGGACAGAAACCAAGAAATTAAGAGCTTGGCTTGGTGAGGTGTTGCATGCAAGACTACACCTTGGCATTGCGGAAAAATGTGCATATACTTGCCAATATACTTATTAAGTAACTTAGTTATACTGAAGTATATATACTTAAGTATACTTAGTTACTCACAGATCACTGTAGCAGGCAATTTGGTGTAATTGATACAGTTTTGGAGGGTGATACAACTTACAAGATCTGTATGAGGCTGTGATTTCTGTAACTAGTGAATGTGAAGCCTTTAAGGACTCCACATAGTACTCTAAGCATTGGAATAAATCTTTGGAATAAAGCATGTTGTCCAGATATCCTACACCTATTTAGCATATATGCTTGTTCCTTACATTTAATTATCAGGGTATTGTTCTTTTAAATAGGCATGGCAAGGTATTTTTAATTATATGTGTATTCATCTACTCACAATGAGAGTAGGTGGAGGAGGAAAATACAACAATTACAGGAAGTCTTACCGAAAGTAGAAGTCATAAATCTTAGTTTTTAAAATACCATGTAGAACATGCACTCACCTTGATTTCATTTGCAGTTGTTAGCCCAGCCCTACACTTCAGTTGTACGTGAGCATCATTGGAGCACAATCTGTAGTGCCGACTTCCCAGTACCGAGAGCTGGAAGGAGGTCGTGACAATGGGAGCTGACAGAATGGGGGATTGGTTGTTACTGCTCCTCAGCCTCAAGCAGAATAATCAAGCTTGTTTGTTTTTTTTGGGTGCACTGCTCGTTTCATCTACAGGAATATCAGACATTATGGATGATTATCTCAGTTTGCAAGATACAGTAATACTTTGTTGATAAAAGAAGCTTAAAGGGAGCTTCTGAACACCCCTTCTACCCCTTGAACAAATTTTAAACAGGTCTGGAATGCTGGGTTTTCTCCAACTCTATGCATATATATTTGTCAATTTTCCAGTATAAATAGCTACAAACAAATAAAAAGAATGGAAAGAAATGTGACAGCTTAAATCTTATGAAATTCAAAATACTGGGCAAAAACATAAAAGAAGCTGAATTCTGTATTACTTCTTCAGATGTATTTATATGAGAGGATTTTCATGAAGTTAAAGTATGATCTGTAACAGTAACTATTATTTCTATAATTCACACTGTATTTCGGCCCCTTACTTGGGTGAATATAGTGAAAGTTTTAGTACAAATATTTGGGTTTAAATTTACCATTCCAAGGATAATCCTCCAGATAGTTTAACAGGTATTGTAAAGGAGGTAATTTGCATGATAAATATAATTGTGTTTAGGGTGTTTTTTCCTTCTGATCAATGCACGTGAAAAAATATATATTTTACCAAAAATAGATGTATTGCATAAAGATAAGAGCACTACTGAAATTAGAAAGATGCGTAAAGACTTTTCAAAGATTTTCCAGTTATCTGCAGTGGTTTATCTTGTACCTAAAAGAATCCTTCCCTCCACTGATTTCCTTTAAATTTTGATTATTTTACTGACTGACCTTTTCCCCTAAAAAAAAACTTTTTAAAAAATTCTGAGTATAAAACTGACTGATCCTTTAGCTTACAAACACAAGACATACTGTGACTAGAAAAACAGAAAACCACAGAAAACAGAAAGTAACTGAAATGCAAGAAAGCAAATACGGTGGCTTAGTTTAAAAATAAATAACAAAATGACAAACACTGTTATCTTAGGTTGTTTTGTGTCTGGGTTTCTAAAGAACCTTCTGGCTTATGAGGAAATAAAGCAAAATTTAACTCATCAATTACTGATAAACTCAACTTCAGAGTCTAAAAGCTGTGTCATTTGGCTGTTTTTAGTACTTTTAACACAGTTCCTTCTTCAGCTCTAGATGAATTTACATAAAGAGATTGGGAGTGAGATCGAATTTCAGTAGTACAGTCTCTGTATTGTTTTTAATGTCTTTAGGTTCTCTTTCCTTTGTTCTTTTGTGCCAGTATTCCAGCACAGAGGGCTGAAAAGAGGAGCTAACTGAAGGATTCAAGTCATTAAATATATATAACTAATAATCATCTCCAGAGTTCCACTCGTTGCTTTTGATTAAATACATATGAATATATGTATTTATATGTATATAAATTTCATATATAAATCTTTGCTTAGAGAAAGTGGAACATGATTATTTCAACATTCACTATGAAAAGTGTTCCTTTTGCATTATTATTCAAAACGTTCATTATTGTCCTTGGAACAGCAATGTAGAAAAATACCTACAGGAACTGATGACCAAGTAACCCATTGTGAGGCAGCTACATAAATCACACAAATGATCAGCTAAAAGTAGAGACTTACATAAATAAATCCGTATAGTTGTATAATACATAGAACATAACACCGTGTGGCTGATTTTTGCTGTTGTGTATTGAGATTGGATTTCTTTTGCTCGTGATCTGGCAGCGTTTTGAGAAAGAAGGTGGGAGTTTCTGCTTCCAAGGGCAGCAAATGTTCAAACTGTTGTTATCTGCTGTTCATTATCACTTCAGAGGTGAAGGCTGCTATTTTTGTACTTCACCTCTTGGTAAGTATGTCATTAAAATGTTAAACAGAGGGTTCATTCAACAGGCTAAACTAGAACACGATTTGCAGAAGATCGTGATTGTATCAATCTACAGATGAGGACAAAATTAGCCAGAATTGTTCTATATTTTTATGCATTCAGCTATTTACAGAGTGTTTTCCTCACAGTCCTGGTAGCAACTTTTGTATACCTTAGGCCAGTAACTATAAATCTTAAGCAGCAATCCAACCCATGTTCTCTGTTCCAGGATAAATTGCAGTGCTGTAAATAACACCACTGTAAGATGTGGCCTCTGACCTCAGAAGCTTATCATCATGGAAGAATGTGATGATCTAAACTAGGAAATAAATAAAAATGGCATTTTCATTGTATATTTGGGACTAGCAAAAAGGCATCTAGGGTCTTACAAAGCTTCTTAGTTCCACTGAAATATGACAGTCTTCATGATATTGTTTGTTAACCTACCTCCAAGCCTGTGATTTTCTTTTGAAGAATTTATTGCTTTTCTGCAACTGCATAATTAAAAAAAAAAATACTAATTGGCTTTTGCATATTACAGTCAAATTCCATATCAATTTTTTTTTTTTTTTTTAGTTTAATTCAAGATGATTATGCATAGATCCTGAAGCTCATGTACATACAGTAGCACCAAATAGTGAAACTGCTGTGAAGACCATGTTTGGAATATTGCAGGTATAACATGACTGGAAAGGCTTAAGAGGAATAATAAAAAATGGGTAAGATTTTTGTGCAAGAAGGTATCACCAGTGAGTCAAGACATGTATACTCCACCGATTACTGGATGCTTGAGTATACACTAGATTAATATCACTTCCACTTTTTCTAAGCATTTGCATTCAGATACTGAAAGTGGGTTACATAGACTGTGGCTTCATTTGGTGTGACTGTCTGAGAAGGAATTCTGCAGTGTATCCAAGGGCTCCAGGGGCTGTAGCATGTGATGTGTGAAGAGAGGCTGAAGCAACTGATTCATTTTTGCCTGAAGAGATGAAACTTGTAGGGGCTTCTTACAGCCATCTTCAACTTTGAGGCGGTATTCCCATTTGCAGATGATCCTGCTATCCAGAGGCTCATCCCCCCTTGGCATATTGTCTTCTTCAGGCTCCTCAGCAGTCATGCCCCAGTGAGGACAGGACTCTGCCGGCCAAGCACTTCAGCAGAGCCAGAATGAGACACTTTGCATGACAGATACCACTGGGGCTAACTCCTGCCATATGTGTTGGAATTCAAAAACGCACAGAGAAAGATAACAGCAACTAAATTAATGCAGAGGCATTGCAAAGTCATGCATTACTTATGCAAAGATTTTCCAGGGAAGAATCATATATGGTTTTTGATAAAGAGTGGAGTATTTATGAGGTTATGGCTGTAAGAAACACAGCACATCAAAACCAGACTTTCATGAAAAAAATACAAAAAGGAAAAAAAAGGATTTATTCAAAATTAAATGGAATTAAATGGCTGTAGTCCATATCTGGATCTGCAAAAGGCAGATTTTATGCACAGATAGATAATTCAATGCCCCACAGAAAAAGGTGGAAGTAAAATACCATAAAGTTCTCAATCTATGTAAATTAAGGTGCTATTTTTGGCTGATTTAACAGATGAATAAAACACTTGATACAATCTTTCTGAAATTCAGCTCAGGAGAAACTAATAACTAAACTTCAAATGACAAGAATTAATGGAATTACTGGAGGATTGATAAAAGCTTTCCAACAGGGAGAGAGCAACACACAGTTCTGCAATATCTGGTAGCACAGTCGTTACTAGCGATTTCCTAAAATAACTTGGCAGTGAACTTCTTTAATAATGCAGTCATGACTTTAATAAAATAGTCATGACTGTGGTAGAAATAGAGTAAAAATACTGATTGTATTTGTTGATGATACAAATATGTAAGCATTGTCAATACAGGGTATGTTATTGTATAAAAATTGCTTATTTCAGCTGGGTTAATAGAAATCAGATTAAATTCAATAATAGATAATATAAAGTGATGCACCCTTCCCCTAAAGCGTGGGTCATCACAACCCTGCTACTGGTCTACTGGTATCCCACTTCTGTTGAAAGCTAGAACTTAGCAAAGAAATAAGGTGGAAATGTACTTGGCTGTCCTACATGACAGCAGGATTACAAATTAGTGAATTTATTTTGTCAGAAAACGATATGACTGTGTTGAAAAGACAGCTCCAGTAGAAATAAAGACACTGGTGATGCTTATCTGAAGTACTTTCTTAGTTTTGATTGCCGGTGTTCAAGATCAATAAATTAAAATAGTTTTACAAAATCTCTGCTGGATGGATAAGTAAAGCAGGAGGAATGTCTCCTGCAAAGAGCCAGAGCTTGTTATCTGAGGCTAAACAAGTCAAAAGGGCATGTCTTTGTTAAGATATTCAGCAGGAGGGTTAAAACTGGAAGAAATATTGCCATTTAGGCTAAAAGCCAATGTTTGTACAAGAACAAAAAGGGAGAAAACAATTATAAATACACTCAAACTGGAAATGAGGCAAAAGACCCGGTCTACTGGAACAATATATTTTGGGACTATCTTTGAAGGAGAATGGTGGGGGGAGGAAAAAAAGTTATTTTAAGCTAAGGCTATGAACAATTTTGAAAGTGAATTCGTTAAATGTTACCTGTAATAATAAAGAAGTAAATTTTGTGATCCAGGAAGTTTATTCTAATTTTGTGCTTCCTTAAAGCACTCTAAGCTAAGAAATGATAGGAATTTGCATCCTATCCTCTGTTTATTTTAGAGCATATGTTCAAATTGGAGGTAGTCTTGTGAAAGCAACAATGCCTATTGCAAACTGATGCATTTGACATGTGAAACCATTCCACACAGAACAATACAGAAATAGATCACATTAAAATGTCTTGTTTTCAGTGGTTATAATTTTATTGAAATCTTAATGTAGCAGTGAAAAGTTGTATAAACTTGCATGTTTATTTTCTTCTGGAATTATTTTGCCATCTTACTCCTCTGTAGTGAGATGATCGCACTGCAGGTTAAATAAGGAGCCAAGTCAATGATGTTAAGACAAATCTCTTGATATACAAGTCCACAGCTGTGTGTGCCAAGTTACTGGTGCAGTTCATGGAGTAGTACATGAAGTTAACTGAAAATGTGCAGTAGAATTCAGTTTTTCTGAAGATGCAAATAATTGCATTTTTATATATTGGAGATGGTAGTGAAAGCCTTACAAAACATTGGAGTATTTATCTATTTATCTATAAATATCTATTAATCCAGTATTGTGAAAATAGGGAAGAACATGCAGTTCTCTGCATTCCTTTTTTGGCTTCCATGCCCTCTACCTGGCAGGCCAGTTTCCTACAAACAGTTATATAATGAAAGGTATTTATTGTAAATAATAACAATAATAATAACAATAATAATGTGAATATGATGATGAAAAACTGGTTGCAAATTTAAAAAATATTATTAATGGATTATATTCTTATTTTTAATATAATATAAAATTCTGACTTTATATGTATATGAAAAGTAAATTATAGGCACAGAATTGTTTCCCAGAAACATTTTAACTAGTTAAGGTAAAAAATAATTACAATACAATAGGAGAACTTACTGTATTCTGTTATTCAAGAAATATGGAAAAAATTATTTCTAAAGTAAGTTAAATTTCAAAACCAAAAAATATAGAAGAAGAAAAAGAGCAGTGAAAACAAGTTTAAGTTCAGAAGTCAGGAATGGCAATCCCAAAGAACATAGAGAATGTATCCTTAAATATGAAATGTTGTGCCTAATTTAAAATAATCTTCCTGAGCAGCAGAGGTTTAATCTAAATCCTAGGAATGTGTCCCAATATTCATCCCTCTGTGCCTTCTTGGTGTATAAAAACCTATGTTCCTGAGTTTACTTCCCTCTGGGCACAGGTCCCTCTGTGTCTCTGCTAGAGCCAAATCATTGTGTATCTGTTTTCTATAAAAAGGATGCAGGCACTTTGTCATCCATCCCTATTCAACAAACTCTTAAAAGTAAATACAGCTTCATTTGTGGTTAACAAAACCAGTTAACTAGAGAGTTAATTTAACAATCCAAAAAGACTTTTTTCATGTTCACTATGATATTATAGCTTTTCCCACTTTTTTCCTCCCTTAAGGATCATATTCTCCTCTTAAATGCAATCTTTCCAGAAGGTCTTGACTGCCTTCAAAAATATTGTTGCCTAGAAGGT